TTGAAGTCAACTCTTTAATTCTACTCTTTAATTAAAGTTTTTGTACTAATTAAACATAACCACAAATCCACCACATTGATCTTTAATTAAAGGTTTTGTGGTTTTGTGCCTTAAGAACTTATTTTTTCCTAGGTTAATAAACATTCATATTTGTGTATCAACTTCAATCTATTTTTTTATACTTTTTGCTTCAAATTTTATTTTATTTTTACCTAAATATGTCTATGGTAGTTTTTTAATCTAAACTATCTCCTTTGTCTTATTTATGGCCATATAAAGTAGATATAAGATCTTTTAATAAAAATATCAATAGTAACTTAGAAAATTATATTAATTCTTATTTTTAATCAATTATTTCTAAAATATATATTTTTTAATTTTAATAAAGTCCTTTTAAATCATTAGTCTTTATGTATATTTCATCCAATAATTATCATATACTATAACAATGTTGTTCTATGTTGTACATGGCCAAATAAACAACATAATTTCTTTTACTTGTCTTTTCTTTGGTCTTATAATTATATTCTCTTGTTTAAAATTTTCTCTATCTTGTCCTATAATTCTTCATTTTTTATTTTTTATTTTTCATCTATCTTTGCTTCTTGGTTTTTATTTTTTTATTTTTTTTAGTTTAGCCTCTTTTTTGTTTACTTTATTTAATTAGTTAATTTTTCTTTATATACTATCATGATAAAGTGATATAGAGGTAATTTGTCTCAAGCCTTTTTTTTACAAATAAAATTTTAATAGAGACTTGAGAGCTCTTGTGACTATTAGTCAGCATATAGACATTAATCAAATTCCAAATCAATAGTGACAAAGGAATTTCTATTACCTAAGTAGTGCTCTATTTGTCAAAGTATTATTCTTATTATTTTACTACTTCAATTCTTGAACTAATAATCATGTGTTTATAGTTGGTGCCTTATTTGTAATAGTTCCACTAAGCTCTTAATTTTCTACTGCAATTAAAAGTAGACTTATGATTCATTAAAAAATAAATGAGCAATATATAGTTGAAACAAATACTATTTTATATTTTAATATATAATTTTTAAATTTACAATGAATATACACAATCTACAATATTCCTCATATAGCTATAATACAATTTTTTTTTAAAAAAATGTAAAGGTCCTTGTAAGTTCAAATCTAGCTAATTACTCACTTAACACTTAGATTTTGGACCAAAATTATTGCAATTTCAAGCTTTGACATATTAATGTATAAAAATAATTAGAATTTTAACAAATTTGGATTAAATACATACCTTCTTCATTTCACTACTTAATTATTTGTTATGTTGTTTTGCATTTTTTCATCAAAGTAAGTTCTTTTGCTTTCTCTAAAAGTTAGATAATTAGTTTGATTAATATTATACTTCCAAACTAAAATCTGTAATTAAAATGTGTAATTAAAACATAATAAATGTTTAAACTTTTTCTTTAAAATAATTTGGAATTATCAAGATAAATGTTTAATCCACTGAAGATAAACAAAAAAATCAAAATACTATTCTTAAATATTTTAGAAAGTTTTAAAATGCTTATTTTAAAAATAAACATATCATATTTGTGGCAAGGAATATAGAATTCAAATTAAACATTTTCTTTTCAAACCACCACAGTAAGCAGTAATTATAATTCTTCTAAAATTACTTAAATAAACTCTAAATCTAATGAATATATAATTATTTTTTGATAGTTTTAATATAATTCAGTTTTTTTGAATTTTTTGAATTTTTTGAATTTAATGATTGGAGTGAATGTCAAAATTCAGTTTAATATAATGTATTTCTATTGCAATCCTAATATATTTAAGTTTTTTATTTTATTTTACTGTGCAAATATATTACATTTTTTAAAAATTATAGCTGAAATATCTTTGTCAAATCAAACAACAATATTTGTTACTTTAAAATTATTTAATTTATTTTTTATATCTATATATATATATATATATATAGATATGTTAGTTTTATTTTAATCTAAAAAGCGTTTTGAATTCAAATACCTGATTTAAAAAAGCAGCTTCTCTTTGATAAACTGTATGTTCTATTTTGATTTTATTGGTTTAGATCGTAGTAAAAATGATCTTTTGCCATGTTAATTATTTTATGCATGTATGAGTTTGTGTCTTTTCTTAAAATTCTGTATTAAAGTTCAATTGAAATAAATAAGTAACAAGAGGGAGAGAGATAAAGGGTTGGAACTTTATTTTAAAAAGAAAAAAAATCAATATAAAATTTTAAGGTGAGATATTTATTAAATAATAATAATAATAATAATAATAATTTTAGAAAATATACTTGTAGATAAGAATACCAAAGATTTGTAACATAGTATTCTAAATGTAACATGAATTAAATTTTATGAGTCTTACAAATAAATTATTGTCTAAAATCTTAAATGAAGTTATAATATTAAATATTTGGATAAAACTATAAAGCTTCTATTAGAAATTTTGCTTAAAAATCAACAATATATATATATATATATATATATATATTTCACATGAAAAAAAAGTATTAAAATTTTGGAGAACTTAAAAAGATCTTTTATTGACTTTTTGTTCCTATTATTTAAATATTAGGTCATTACTTTGTCACATAAGAACAATGCAATAAAGTTAAAAGAAATGACTTCTCTTATTGCAAAAGATTAAAAATATTAAAAATTAAAAAAATAATAATAATAATAGTTTGACTTCACATTTAAAAGCATTACTAATAAGAGAAAGAAAATGATAAAATGTACAACATGTACGACATTTTCATTGAGAAAAATTTAAAAACAAGTTTTGATGTTATTATTCATTACTCTAAAGGTATAATTAAGTATATACATTTGAGATGTATGGAGAAGCATATTAATTATTCTAGAAGTTAGAGCATTATGTTGTGTTTCTTTAATGAAGGAGTGGATGCATATGATGAAGTTTTTTTTTCAATTAATTTTTAAATTATAAAAAATATAATGATTAAGAAGCAAAGTGAAAGAAAGATCAAATATATTAAGATCTGAAAATGGAGGAGAATATGATTCATTATTAACTAATAAAGTTATACAAATAAATGAATTACTCGTTATTTTACTATTCCATAAACTACTTAACTAAATAGAATAGCAAAATTATTAAATTGTATAATATTTGAAAAGAGAAAAAAATATATTAGACATTGTTTAATTAAAAGAGATCTATACAACTATAATTGTCAATACTGCTGGTGTTTCGATATAGATCTTGATTCAAGGCTCTTTAGATTCTTTGTAATTGGCACTTGTCATTTTATTTATTTATTTATGCTTTTTCTTTCTATAACATATGAATATATTGTCTTTTCAATTAATTTTATTTATTTATTATTATTATTTTTTTATCCATGTCATTGACAAGCTAAGTTATACAACTATGTTACATTTGTGTTATAAGTTGATATTATATTTGTTGCAAAAAAATAACAATCTAATTTTTAAAAGTTCAAAATACATTTGAGTAAAGATTTTAATATGAAATATTTAAGTTGTACTAAGAAAGTTATATTTTATTTTTATTTTTTCAAGGTTATAAATAAAGTAGACTTTAGATACTACAACGAAAATACATCAATAAAATATTGATGGATTTTAACTTAAAATCAAATCAATTCATTTTGTTTATAAGCATATAGTAGATATTCTTGTATATGTAATATTACACCAAACATGTTACATGTTATCAGTGTAGTCAATAAATATATAAAAAATCCGATAAAAAATATTAAAATGTAGTTTATAAAATGTTTGTTTATTTATTTATAAAAGACAATATAAATATTTTTATCATATTTTATGCTATATGTGAAGTAAGTAGAAGTATCATAGGACTTACATCAACATCAACATTTATTAAAATTTAAAAGCATAAGATTGATATTAGATATCTTATTAAAAAACCAAGAAAAAACAAAACACCACATTAGAATGTAGTTAATACTTATTCCAAAGTGAGAATACTAAAACTGAATAATTTATTTGAAGAATTTATTTGATCAAATATATTAAAAAAAGATTACGTTTTCATTCATGTTAAATATTACATATATATATATATATATATATATAAATGTATGTGTGTGTGTAATTCCAATTACCATTTAGATGTTCAAATTTAATTTAAATTGTAAAGTAAAAATACTACAACAAGAAGTTATAAAACAAGAAGTTACATTCTCATACGAGAATCTATGAACCCAGATTGAGATTTCACAAGTGCAATTCAAACCACAAACCTTTGATAGATATCCACGTTTCGATGCAATTTGCCATTATCTAGTCATTAATGAGTCCTTTACACAGTATTTGTCCCACACATATCACTATTTTTCAATCTTCCCTCGTCATCTCGTGCCCTTGAAACGTCCATCGACTCTGAACGACGGACGATGAAAAAATTTCATCGGTAGGCGAAGTCGGGACCCACCTCGCCCAGGTACGCGAGGTGCCCGAATTCGAAGTGCGACTCATCCGATCTGCAGACCCCGAGAGCGCAAATTCGCGTCGGGAAAGATCGATCGGTGGCGTAGGTAGCCAGATACATTCATTCAGAATGCGCCTGAACAAGACTTCAAACATGTGCGGATCGCTGCACCATGTTAATAATCCCCGGAATTCGGCAGCTGAATCGCAGTGTGGGGTCACGGCTCCGACGTGCCTCCTGGATCTGGTATAGATTGTTTCGATTATCTACAAGTTTCTAATGCAGACTCGTGATAATCTACACAGGCCAGTAGCGCAGAGCGTTGCCGCGCGATCTCGAATCAACTCCCGAATGCTTTCACTTGTGCGGATTCGCTACTGGTCTAAAACGAGGCGATTCATCGCGCTGCTTCACTCACGTTGACTCTTTACAGCTAGTAATTTACCTGATTGATGAACCTCTTCTGACCGCCGCTCCCTAATCGGGCATTGTGACGAGGATCTAGCCGCCGCCTAGGGTGCACACATGAAGCGCAGGAGTAATAAACTATTTTATTGTGGGTTGGATTAGGTACCAGCCACCCCGCACCGGCCTGGAAGAGTGTTGCGATCGAGAAGTTTCCGTGAGTGTTGCTCTTTGGGATGCTATGAAGATCCCCCACTCCTCCTCTCTTCTTGCCTGCCGTGTGGCCGACCATGTTGAGCTCTACTGACTAGCAGGGCTTCTCTCTTGGACACTGAAGCAAGGATCGGCCTCCTTGGTGCGGGATCCTGGATCTGACGTCGGGTTTTTGCAGTCGGAGTCCTGGTTGTATGTCGGGAAGCGAGTGGGTATTGTCAATTTAAGGTCAAATGCTCATGGATATGCAATTCGAGGTAAGTGTCGGTCTCGTTATAAGCCTCATTTTCGTTGAGCTTGCGATTCAAGGAGCCTGAAATACGCCAGTATCTTGAAACAACTAGGAAGTTGGAGAATCGAAAGATGTGGATGCTGTTGTCTGAAACAGCGGTTAATATGTCCACGTCTGGTGCGCATTGTTTACAGGAACTTTTGAGCAGATGCAGAAACTGAGGAATGGTGTTTTCGTCGTAGCGGCTTAGTTTGGGCTTATTCTGTGGAGGATCGAGCACTAGTCTGTTAATCCAGATCAAGGATTTATGTTTGTCGATTGAGGGGAATACGAAGGCGTGCAGCCATGGCTTCGCCAAGGTCTGCTGCAACAGGTGGACTTGGGTTTCGTAATGCAGGACAATCTCGTGGCGTGCAGATGACAGGTCGCACAAACTCGGACAACCAGAATGCGGGCGGGGGGAATCATCACCATGCAAGAAGGACGTCCAGCGGGAGATTTAACAATCTTTCGCGTGACATGAGTGAGATGGGGGGTGCTACAGACAGCGAGCTGGGATCCGATTACTTATACACTGTCCAGATCCCTGCCACACCAGACCACCCAATGTCGGGAGATCGGGCGGTCCCCGGAAAGGGCGAGCAGCTTGGGGGTGCACGCGGTCCTACCTGCGCCGTCATCAACTGTGACGGGAAGGCGATGCGCGACGAGCGCGGAGAAGACATGACACCTTGTGATTGCAACTTCAAGATCTGCCGCGACTGCTACATCGATGCCCTCAACGGGTCTGGGAAATGCCCTGGTTGTAAAGACGACTACACTGCGTCTGACGAGCCCTTCTCACAGGGTGGTTCCCAGAATGACATGCGCGTGTTACCACCCAACGGCGACGACAGCTCCAGACTGGATCGCCGCCTGTCTCTTCTAAAGACAAAGCCCGGCATGCTTATGAGCAATGGTTCCTCTGCTGATTTCGACCACGCCCGCTGGCTCTATCAGACCAAGGGTACCTACGGTTACGGCAATGCCGTGTGGCCCGGCGACGATGGATACGATGGCGGTGGCGGCCAAGGTCCACCAAATCTGGGTGTTTTGCCTGAATTCAATGATAAAGTGAGGCGTCCTCTAACTCGCAAAGTCAGCATTTCGACAGGCATTCTTAGTCCCTACAGGTTTGTTTCCTACTCAAGCATACTTCAGTTTCTTAGTCATTACTGAATTAATGCCAGAATGGTAAGTAGAACTTGATTTGTGTCCACGCTAGCAATTGAATTGTGGGAAAGCTCTAGTATCTGATGTCATACACATGTCTGCAGGTTGATTGTGGCAATCCGCATGGTAGTCCTCGCACTGTTTCTCATGTGGCGTGTTCAGCATCCGAACCCTGACGCCCTGTGGCTTTGGGGAATGTCGGTAGTTTGCGAGATTTGGTTTGCCTTCTCTTGGATTCTCGACCAGTTGCCAAAGCTGTGTCCCATCAACCGTTTGACAGATCTGTCGGTGTTGAAGGAGAAGTTCGACATGCCGTCACCAGAGAACCCCAGCGGTAGGTCTGATCTACCCGGTGTGGACATCTTCGTCTCCACAGCTGATCCCGAGAAGGAACCTCCTCTCACTACCGCAAACACAATCCTATCCATTTTGGCATCTGAGTATCCTTTGGAGAAGCTTGCGTGCTACCTCTCTGACGATGGTGGCGCCCTCTTGTCGTTCGAGGCCTTGGCTGAGGCTGCGAGCTTTGCCCGCGTATGGATCCCCTTCTGCCGGAAGCACAAGATTGAGCCCCGCAACCCGGAAACGTATTTCCTCTTGAAGGGAGATCCCACGAAGAATAAGGTTCGTTCCGATTTCGTGAAGGATCGCCGCAAGGTCAAGAGAGAGTATGACGAGTTCAAGGTTCGTGTTAACGGATTGCCCGATGCAATCCGCCGTCGCTCAGACGCATACAATGCACATGAAGAAATTCGAGCTAAGCGTCACCAGATGGAGTCTGGAGGAGATCCGTCCGAGCCTCTCAATATACCCAAGGCCACTTGGATGGCAGATGGGACACACTGGCCAGGAACGTGGACTCAATCCGGCAAGGAGCATGGACGAGGAGACCACGCTGGTATCATCCAGGTGATGCTAGCTCCTCCTACTGCTGAGCCTTTGATGGGCAGTAGCGACGAGGAGAATATCATTGACACTACGGATGTTGACATTCGTCTGCCGATGCTAGTATACATGTCTCGTGAAAAACGTCCCGGTTACGATCACAACAAGAAGGCCGGAGCTATGAACGCCCTTGTTCGCACGAGTGCTGTCATGTCCAACGGTCCATTCATTCTCAATCTGGATTGTGATCACTACATCTTCAATGCCCTCGCCATCCGGGAAGCCATGTGTTTCTTCATGGATAAGGGTGGTGATCGTCTCGCCTACGTCCAGTTTCCTCAACGTTTTGAAGGAGTAGATCCCAACGATCGATACGCTAATCACAACACTGTCTTCTTCGACGTCAACATGAGAGCGCTGGATGGGTTGCAGGGACCAGTCTATGTCGGAACCGGGTGCGTCTTCAGAAGAATTGCGCTCTATGGTTTTGACCCCCCTAGGATGCGGGACCATGGGTGCTGCTTCCAGCTTTGTTGCTGCTGCTGCGGGCCGAAGCAGCCTAAGAAGAAACCGAAGTCTAAGCAACGAGACTCGGAGGTGGCAGGGTTAACCGAACACACTACAAGTGATGACGATGATGATATTGAAGCCACCATGCTCCCAAAGCGCTACGGTTCTTCAGCTGTATTCGCTGCATCGATTCCGGTGGCAGAGTTTCAAGGGCGACCTCTGGCAGACAAGGGCGTGAAGAACGGTCGACCTGCTGGAGCGCTAACGATTCCCCGTGAGCCCCTGGACGCTTCAACAGTTGCTGAAGCCATTAACGTAGTGTCGTGCTTTTACGAGGACAAGACCGAGTGGGGAGGACGCGTGGGATGGATTTATGGGTCCGTGACAGAGGATGTGGTGACTGGTTTCCGTATGCACAATCGTGGTTGGCGTTCAATCTACTGTGTCACTAAGCGCGATGCCTTCAGAGGAACTGCTCCCATCAATCTTACCGATCGTCTTCATCAAGTAAGCATCGTGTCTTTGTCCAACTTGTGTACAGCCAACAATTAAGGGCTTAGTGACAGCAGGTTTTTGGCTTCTATTTTGGAGTTTTTCTTTACATTTCTCCTAGTGACGCATTGAATTCATGGTTGTAGGTGCTTCGTTGGGCTACTGGATCCGTGGAAATTTTCTTCTCTCGAAACAATGCTCTTCTCGCCAGCTCTCGGCTCAAGTTTTTGCAACGCATTGCATACCTTAACGTCGGCATCTACCCGTTCACTTCCATCTTCCTTTTGGTTTACTGCTTCCTCCCCGCTCTTTCTCTTTATACTGGCCAATTTATCGTGCAAAATTTGAACCTAGCTTTCTTGATTTACCTTCTCACCATTACCATCAGCCTGTGCTCACTCGCCGTGCTCGAAGTCAAATGGTCTGGAATCAGTCTGGAGGAGTGGTGGAGAAACGAACAGTTCTGGGTGATTGGTGGAACCAGTGCCCATTTGGCTGCCGTCTTCCAGGGTATTCTCAAAGTCATGGCCGGAGTCGAAATCTCCTTCACTCTGACCTCGAAATCAGCTGGTGATGATGAAGACGACATTTACGCAGATCTCTACATCGTCAAGTGGACGTCTCTCTTCATTCCTCCAATCACCATTGGTATCACCAACATTGTTGCCATCGCTGTTGGAGTTTCCCGCACCATCTACTCCCCCAATCCCGAATGGAGCAAGCTCTTAGGAGGAGTCTTCTTCTCGCTCTGGGTGCTCATGCATCTGTACCCCTTCTTCAAGGGTCTGATGGGTAAGGGCGGCAAGACCCCGACCATTATCTACGTTTGGGCGGGTCTGCTCTCCGTTATCATTTCTCTCCTGTGGGTTTACATCTCTCCTCAGAATGGTAGCGCTGCAGCAGCAGGTGGTGGCTTCACATTTCCTTAGGGTTACGGTCTGATTTAGGGCCCTAAGGTCCTCTCCATTGTGCCATTGTTCTCCGCGGCAAATCTTTTGGTCAGGTACCGTGAAAGTTTTTCATACCTGCCACTCAAGCAGTTTTTAAAGCTCTCACAAGGACTATTAACCTAAAACAAAGACGTCGTCCTCTATTTTCTTCAGCGATATTTAGAAAAAAAAAAATCCTGCATCCGCTGGATTTGTACATTAGCTTAAAAATTCTTTCGACTCATGCAAGGCCAGAGTCTTCTGAACAAGTGGAGCTGCCAGAGAAGCTGAAGTTGCTTCAGCGGCAGGCTTCCTCTTGACCAACATCAACAATCCTCAGTACAGCGTCGATGCTTTGTCGGACGCGTTACAATAAGATCGTGGTCATGCATCTGCTTATTTATAAGTATCACTAATACATTCATTGTACAGGAGAGTGTCTTCTGTAGTATCAAAAGAGTAAGCTTTGTGGGCGTTCTTGAGTGATTGTGGCGAGGGCCTCCGATTTAGTTGTGTAAGCCTTGGCTTATAATCTTTCTGCCAGATTGGCTATAACGCAAACCCTTGTTACCAGCATCTTGAGTGGGATGCGAAGCAATTCCTCCTATATCATTGTGTTACTTGCTTATTTCTCGGCCTCTTGTTTGTGTTTGGCCGTGGCCTAATCAAATTTGGATTTGTCGGCGATGTTCACTGGACTCATTTCCCTCGTGATTTTAGGTTAGGCTGTCGGACGAGCTATTTCCATCATCACTATCTGAGCTATGTCGATTATCATTTCCATTAAATCCCAGTCGCACCTGGCCATCTCATTACAGAATTACCTGCAATATACGTTTTGAATGCTTGCTGTGAGAATGCGTGATTTTCAGCCTCTATGATTGTTTAAATTCAACAATCATTTCCTCGCCCAATGTCTGACGCAGTGGACTTTGAGCACTCTTGAAGTCGTCGTGTGAAAAACCCAGAAACTAATCTTCCTAACAACGAAGTTTGGCACACGAGATGACCTTGAAGAACACCTTTGAGAGTTTGTACAATGCATGGAAGATTCACATCCAGGAGTGATCCCTTTCGTTTTCGATGACAATATTGGATGTTGGGCCCAGCTGCCACATGTCAGCAGCGAAAGTGATGCTGCCCATCTACTCTTCAGATCGGGAGCCCATCGGAATCTCCAGTGGGGCCAAGTAAGCCAGGTGTGATCGGCCGTAGATCTTGAAACCGTGTGCGAAGGAGGGGGAAGCATATCCCTCGTGGTGGTTCGAGGGACACTCGACAGACCTAAAAGTTGTTGGATTGTTAGAGTGAGAGGAGATCGGTGATCAGGTTGAAGACAAAACGATTGTGAACCGCATACCCCCTCCTGTGCAGTATTTTGTTCCCAAACCAGTGATTGAGCAGTTGGGCGGAGTGAGAAACCCCTTGGGATTGCTGGATTCCATTTTCTCAATTTAGTGTTTGCAGTTTTGGAGCGTGTCTAGGTGCTTAGCTCAGTGTGGCATTCGTGGTTGCGGTGGTTAGGAAGGCTAGGCAAGATGAACGACATGGAGGTTTCGCAGCAAGTCCAGCAGATGGTGCAGTTCATACGCCAGGAAGCGGAGGAGAAGGCCAATGAGATCTCTGTATCTGCCGAGGAGGTAAGACCATCAGGCTCCTTGAATCCACCGGGCACGTTTGCAAATGTTTTTATAGGGGAGTTTATCTGTTTTGGAGAATTCGGACCTCGAATCGACGTTGTATTGGATGTTTTCGCTACCGACTTTCGGAATTGATGCATAGGTTTTGATTTGGCACAAGTGTTTTTAAGGCAAGTAGTGTACGGTATGTGTTGATCGAAACTAGGTAGACTTGACAGTTTTATAACATAGAGAAGTTGTCGTCTGTTGTTTTATTTTATTTTTTCATCATTTTATTTAGTTTTGTTTTTCCAGTAATTAATTTGCAATTAATTTTCTAATACTATGAGCCAGCATTAACTCAATTCAGAACATCAGGTGTTTCTCACTTAGTATTGGATCCGAATTGATTGTCAGCTTCTGAACTCTAATTCTTATTTCAAACATCTGTGTTCAAAGTCGACCAGGCACGAGGGTGAGAGCTGTAGAGGATTGGAATGTAACAATCCATGTGGGTTCGGAGATGCAGTCTCTTCTTTTTCTCCTGTCTGGTTGTGCTATAATTTATCTCAAATCATCTCAAATCATGTCTGTTCTTTTGTTTATGAATATCAGAATCTATGAAGGTTTGCAATGATGTCACCCCTTAGCTTTCTCTGGAAAGCTGCGGTGACCTCAGTTTGATCAATTGATGATTCCGTTGGTAAGGCTCTTCCATGTTATCAACTGTGCAACACGTGTCTTATATCGGAATTAAATGTTGTTGAGGGGTGGTTCAACGCAGGAATTCAACATTGAGAAGTTACAGATTGTAGAAGCTGAAAAGAAGAAAATTCGGCAGGAGTTTGAGCGTAAGGAGAAGCAAGTGGAAGTTCGCCGTAAAATGTAATTACTAAACATCAGTGTCACAGAACATTACTCTTTGGGATGGCTAGGCAAGTAGAAGTTCACTGTGAAAATTTAGAGTTCTCGAGCATCTATAAATTGAACACTTGTAAAACCAAGAATCAAGCCATTTGAAGCATTCATTTGTGAAGATGCAGATTATTAACTGGTCATGATCTTTTACAGACTTTGATTTGAACGAAGAACTATTTTGTCAATTAGGTTGCCTGTTTTTGATATAGTAGTGTTTTAGTGCACATCTCATCTATGACTTTTCAATTCTTGGTAGTGAATATTCAACGCAGCTGAATGCTTCCCGATTGAAGTTACTGCAAGCACAGGACGACCTGGTCCGCAAGATGAAAGAAGCAGCTGAGAATCAGCTGCGGAAAGAGGCCGCTGAGAAGCAGCTCCAGATGGTTGGATCCAGTGATAATGAGGACTATCCCAAACTTCTCGAAGCGCTTATCATCCAAGTATGCGATTCCCAGTCTTTTGACAATGTGATTGGTTACAGCACAAGAGTGCTCTTTCAACATTGTTACATTCTGAAGAGAATGGCTTATATGTGCTGAAGTCCGTGACATATTTGTGTCCAGGGCTTGTTGAGGCTGAAAGAGCACTCAACACAGCTGCGGTGCCGTGAGCAAGATCTTGAGATAGTTCAGTCAGTGATCGGATCAACGAAGCAGGCATATGCAGAGAAACTGAATGTCGATGTACCGGAGGTGTTTGTCGACGAGGAGCATTTCCTTCCTGGGCCACCAGGGTCATCTAACCACGGCTCCTCCTGGTATCAATCCCTCCCTTTCATCCGAATTTTAGCAGAGTGGTATTGTGTGAATTCAGATTACATGAATGTGCTTAGTACATTAGAACACGGAAATTTCGATCATACAAATTCCTGAACTTGTGTCTTCAACCGAAGCTTCATCATCCTAGTAGGAGCTAATTGTCCTCATGCTATGAGGGATGCGTGTTGACCTATTGCGTCTGGTTTATCTCTAAGTTTTTGAAGATGATAAGTCGTGACGGCTGTGATCCCATGCAATGAAAATTCATTGAAGCATTGAGTAGGTTTCTTGTGCCAACCATCATTCTTTCAGGGCTGAGCTTTGTAGTTGGTTTGGTTCTTACTTCGTATCCAGGTTGCTAAAGTTGGGCTCTTCTTTATGTATGGTCCAATATCCTGTTGTCTACTTGTTGAATGGATTGCTATTTTTGCTCCTATAGATCGTCGAGGTTTTCTCCCTTCGCTTTGCAGAGAGTGGAGTGAGGTCTGTCAAATAATGCTTCAAGATAATTTTCTGATATGGTTTTTGTGCTCTGTGACCATAGTACTGGGGGAGTGGTATTGGCTACCAAAGATGGGCGCATCGTGTTGGAGAACACTTTGGACGCACGTTTGGAGGTTGTGTTCAAGCAACAACTCCCTGAGGTAAGAGTCCCCGCTCCTCTGGGATTGTGGACTTACACCTCCAGTGCTCCCTTTCTCCTCAACTGTGTTAATGAATTGTGTGCAATTTTATTGGTACTTTGTCATACAGATATTCTGGTGAACCTGATGCATGGCGCAACGTATATTACTTTGGTATCGTTTTGCCACCAAGTGCATCAGAATTAGACTTCTTGATACTTCAGCTGAGCGAATGTATAAATTTAGCATTATTTTATGCTATAGTTTGGTTTTAGAAAGGTGGTCCAAGTACAGTAAACCTTGTGACTAAAAGAAAAACACCCGTGTTGTCTTTGCTTGTATTTCTTGCAGCCTTTAATAATAATCATGCATATTGCACATGTTAGAACAGTCTTGATTTCGTTTGAATTTTCTGCACTTTAGTATGATATCTCCTTGAACTAGATGTTATTAATCAACGCCATGCTGGGATTCTTGCATGTTCAGATTCGAAAGCGGCTCTTTCCTTCGGGCGGTCAAGCGGGTGCTTAGGGTTCGGATAATTCGATTAGCCCGTTTTGTCTGCTCTTGTGAATCTGCTGGAAGTGGCCCAGTCCAGAGTTCATATTTCCGTTTCTGTGAGATTTTGATATTTTTAACAATAGAATAGCCAGCATCATCTTGTTATGTACTTGCTTCTTGGTCACTACCTTTTTTGCAGTTCCTTGTCACCTGTGTAAGTTTTACAATAGGCATATGCTACATTGAGGAATTTAAGGCTTAAGCCTTCGCATATGGACGTCGAAGATTGTTGAAGCTAGGTTTTTAATTTTTAATTTTCAATTTATTTTGTTTAAAGAAAGTGTTCAACCATTTCTTCATTTTCCTCATCTTTACTAAGTAGCCAACTTGCTTCTTTCTCTACTAAATCTTTTAACGTATTTGATATAAGTGAGAATTGTTCATCGTACATGGAATCTGGTGGATAGAATTAGTGTTAAGGCTTTAGATTAGGATGGGGTAAGTGGGCTTTTTAATTTCACTTTCTCCATCATCCAGTTTTTAGAAATCTTTCCACTTTTCTTTCAAATGAGAAAAACTTCAGCATAACATGGACATGAATCATTTAAACTTTGTGTTTTCTTTGTTGTTCCATTAAGTTTTGCTTGCATATCATCTAAAATGTCAGATTCAACAATAATAGAAAGAAATATTTTATTCATTTAAAAATCTTGTGCTTGAAATTGAAAAAAGAAGTCCAAATCTTGATTATCATGGTAGAATTTTTGTCAAAATTTTCAGGCGGCAAGTATCTAAAACATTGGGCAACACATTTGTATTTTGGAATACACTTGGATTTTATAACCCTATTCATCGTGTGGCTTGCAATCTTGTTTGTATTTTATCGTAGGCATTCTAATACACAATACACACACACATACCTACACGAATTTGTACTCGATTAATGCTTCTAATTTTAAACTTTCACACAACTGATCATTGACTAGGGTGTTTATCGTTAAGTTATAATTTTTATAGTAAAAAATATCACAAAATTGAATAAAAAAATAAAAATAAAAACCTCGGTTTTGATTTTAGTGTGTCGTATTTTGATTTTAGTCTTGTTCATTTCCACAATTGCTGAAGAAATTGCTTAATAGTTTGCTATCTTAAGTATCTCAATTATTTTGACGAAACACATTCCATGTTAAGTACTGACGTACTACAAAACACAATTGCCGTGATATCAAACCCGTGAACCAGAAGCACGAGTTTTGATGACATTAGTAATAGATAAAGTTGTTTTCACTTTTGCATCCCATATGATAAAATTGTACACTAATCAAATAAGTACGAATTAAAAATAGTAAAAAGTATTTTTTTCAAAATTAAATATATTATTATACATAGATAAATACATACATACATACAATCGAAAATTTTCAAGCTGACGCGGCCAGCGTCGTCCCCGCGACCAGGAAGCTTGCTTGCACGAACTTCTTCGAAGCAGCGAAGGCGACGAGATTGTGATCCTTGCTCGCCACCATCGCTCATTGCCGCGCCGTGTTTCTCCGTTGCGACGGATTTGCTGTCACTTGCGTTTCTCAGTTGGATTGTGTCAACTACTTTTTAGCAGTGTTACTAGGTGCAGTAGTCGCTTACCGGTACTTATCCTTCAAGTGGAGTTGAGGTCCACAACTTTTCGCAGTTCGTTGGATTGTTGACGAGTAGAGAGCCATGACTGAGGTACAATTGCGTCTTAAGATCGACCCACATCCGAAATTTCACGTTTCGTGGCTCACAGGATTTCTTCGGTGGTTACTATGCGTGGAAGCCCTCTTGTATTTAGATAAAAGGAATAGGGTTTGATCGCGTTGGACTATTATATGTCTGTATTTTATACTTCGTGGTTGTGTTTTCTCCGTGTGAAATTGGGTGTGACGGTATTGGCGCCATCAAGGTGTAAGGGAAACGAGTGGCTCGGGCTTTAAGTTTCTGTTTGTTAGCTCGTGCTGAATTAGGGTTTATAGGAAGCCTGTTAGATATTGTCTGGACTTAATTGTAAAGGGTATTATCACGAGTCGATGCCACTACCCTTTATCAATTTGGATTTGGCTGGACGATGAATATCATGTGAAGTGGATTCGTCGACACTTTGCTGCGTGCAGGTGTAGATTTTAGGGCGAAGTTTTGGAGTCGTGTATTGTGTTGATTGCATTCTGGTCGATTTCACTGACTTACATTTGTAGGTTTCAGACTCAATCTGTAGGTTTACCTGATTGTCCTTACCGGAACGTTCCAATTTATTTTTTCTCTAATGAATCTCCGTGCTAAGTGCTGGGTTTTGTTTTTGTGAGCTTTGCAGTACTGGGTAAGTCAAGGTAAGAAATGGTGTGACTATTGCAAAATATTTATCGCCAACAATGCCACTAGTCTGCGCAATCATGAGATCGGGCAACGGCACAAGGAGGCAATGGCTCAGCGCCTTACGATCATGCGCAAAGACAACATTGCCAAAGAGAAGGAGAAACAACAAGCTCTCAAGGACCTCGAGCGTATTGAACAGGTGTATAGTACTCCGTAATTATCACGTTCCTTTTAGATCGCAATGATTCACATGTATGTCAATGTCAGATCTATTTTTCTTTTAAATACTGCTCCTGTCACATGTACAACAAACATTAGTAAGATATCCAACAATTTGTGAAGCAGAACAGCGCTGATATGTTGTGTCTACGTTGCTGTTTTTTCGTAGCCGTTTAGTAATTGATCGTGGGCCATGGCGTGGTGATCTTCGAGTGGTGTGTTCCTCTTTTTTCTTCTTCAGCTGAGGTTTAAGATGGTTCTCAGGATGCAGAGAGAATTATTATAATAGTTGTCAAGCATGAGACTTAGACCATAAGTTTTCCAACAGCTAAACTCAGTTATGCCGGTGTTCATCTTTTAAGAGAATTTGTGATGGTAAATACCTTGTCATGAAGCACCTCATGTTAGTAATAATCGCCTGAGTATGGTAGCATGGGATCGAGTCCTTGGCATATGATACAGCAAAGCTTGTATCGTTCTTTGTAAATTGACATTCCGTTGGATTACTGTTCTTAATATTCTCAAATAAAATCACAAATATCTTCAGATAAGGAATGCTTGTAAGAATTACTTGTACGAGATAAGACTTCGTATTGTCTGCTCATTTGTGTCAGCCTGTGTGGCTTCTCGGAACAACCACATAACTTTGAAACTTTCTATTTCTCAGTTTAGAAATTGACTACGGTATTCCGTGGGTCCATTTCTAGAGCTTGTCTAATTCAGAGTCGCGCTTGTATACTGGGTGGTCAGCAAGCGAAAAGGAGCTATGAGAGGGACGTGGCAGCAGCAGAGAGGCTTGCAGGTTCTGCTAATTACAGTGCTCAACGTGCAGCGCGTCCACCTGAAGCCCCTGGGGGTGCCCCGCCGGCCCCTGCCATACCTGCCCCAAGAAGCAGCCAAATCAATAGCAAATCCGAAGGAAAAGTAAACGGTAAAATTCTGCCTATTTGATATTGCGGGGAACCTATTATCTGCTGATTTAAGTAGGTTTTTCAATTGCCTTCAATGAACTGAACATATATTAAAAGGATATGGACACTCTCTAGAACAGCATATGAAAGCAAAAAGTTTGCATCCTTGCAGTGGTTTTGATGAACGACATTGTCAAGTAGCTGAATTCTAGTGATATGGGCAGCGAGTCTTAATACTGAAAATGACATATGTGACAAGAATGTAACGTCCAGTGATTTATTTATTTATTTATTTATTATTTTTTTTTAACCTGTTCACATTTATTATCTTAGTAACTTTCTAATCGGCCTTTTTGCTGTTTGTGGGACTCTTAATCTAAGCTATGCGTTTGTTGGTTTTGCAGATTGGACCCTTGATGAGAAGTCTGGGTACTATTTCAATGCAGCCACAGGATACTACTACGATCCTAACTCCGGTTTCTATTATAGCGATATCTTAGGTATGAAGCTTATTTACACATGATAGTCTGGCCTTTTTGATAGTGTAGAAGTACATTATTAGTTACATCACTTTGCTTTCGGCCACGTGTCTTCTTCCGAATTCGACTTTGTTCTTATTATATCTTGTTAAACTGCGACAGGAAAATGGACAACACAAGAAGAAGCCCATCAAGCTTCCTTAAAAGCACATGCAGAGGCTGGAATAGCTCCAGCATCCTCCACAATGTCGAAACAGCCATCTCATTCTAAAGAGGAACCAAAGATTAGCAGTAGTGCTGCGACGGTATCGCATCCAAAGGCAGCAGTTACAACATCTAGTACTGCCGCCCAAGCGTCTGTTCCAAAGCAAAAGGCCTTACCCAGTAAAGGTGGAAAAGGAGTTGCGTCCTCCTTGGAAGTGACTAAACGGAGAAGAGACGAGAAAACTGGGCCTGTTTCAAGTGAAGAAGCGGCTGCCTTGGCAGCAAGGGAAGCTGCCAAGAAGCGCGTCCTGGACAGAGAAAAGTCCTTGTTAGGGCTTTACCAGGCCTACTGAGCTATGTATCTCTTGCGCCAGTGTGCTTCTTTCCTGCGTCTTGTTTTTCGTCTGATGGTGTACAAAATTCTGATGCAGCTTGCATTCTGTTGCCTCTGGCTGTCATGATCATTCAACTCATTGATGTATGTTCGTCAAGCAGCGATGCTGATGAGCCATGATCAAAACTTTACTCATTTCCACCATATCGGTCGCGTCTGACTAAAGACTTACTACCGAGCAGATCAAGTTGGCAGAGTTCGAGCAGTCTTCGCAGCATGCACAGTGGCTGGTAACGAATTCACCGCAGGAAAAAAGAACCCAACTGAAGTTCTTATGAAGTAGACCCTATGAGGTGCCGCAATCTGTACATCGTTACATAAGCTTTTGTGTTCATTCGATTGGCTCGTTTTCAACAGTTGGGACCTCAATGAAAGCTTTGTATCTTCTAAATTTGTTCACTGGCATGCTTATATTTGTACTTGCGGAGTTAAGGTAGTGAACTCCCTTGCAAGTGCTATTTAGCACTAGGTACAGTAATAAAGTATTCTGAATTTTACCTCTCCATTCCTATTTCTTAACCTCTTGGTTTTGCACAGGTAGCCAGTGCTGGTGGTCTGACCTCCACCATTGGGTAAATCAACTACCCAATCTTGTTGACAACTACCCCGGTGGTTATTACGACAGAGGAGTTCTCGATGTATGATGTAGATTTAAGTTCGCAATGGATATATTGATTCATCACTTGGAAAGCCTTAACCTGCCGGGCTCGACAACTGTTCTCTATTCTAGATAGCACGATGTATTCTAGACTATCACGGCAACTGAACCCCGAACTCCAGAAAGGTTTGCCCTAACCGTAGGTGATTTGAAACGATTGATGCAGGCACTACTCACTCATAAAGGACTCTTGAAACAAAGCTCTGAACACATTCCTCGGTGTGGAGCTCCTCGACATCTGACGACGTTTGCGAGAGCTCTTGGTCTCAGATTCAAAATGGATTTCCTGTTTGGTATCTGGACTGAAAGTTGGAGCCCCGGACATACCTTTCTGGAGTTCGGGGTTCAGTTGCGACCAGCGTAGGGGATTTATTGACAGTATTTAACTACCAAACAATCCTTACTATTAACACCTTAGTAACTTGACCATTGCTTCGAGCGATAAGATCTGATCGTCTGGATCTTCAGTTCACCTGACCGTAGAGTTATTATCGCTCTGAGACTAACGCCTCCTCCCCGAAAATTTCTCAAGACCTGAGGTTTAGACTTCGACCTCAAATTAGCCACAACCATCCATGTTTATGACCAGTCTCGTAAAGTAGACTTGTGGGTTGTACTTGTGTAACCTTGTGCAATAGAGAATTACTAGAGGAATGCAAAAATATTCCATAACGTCTAATTCATAACATCTAGTTCATGGTCACACAGATGGAACCAAACCTCATTTGGTTCGTGGATGTTGTCAAGTATTATTGCTTCGAAGTTATCAAATGCGTGATCTGATTGTTTATGTTTCACATGATCTAGTTCCATGGGTTTGTCTTTTAACATCATGTGCGACGCTTCGCACAACAATGCAGCAGCCCCAACTTCCCATCTCCCCTTCCTTTTAGTATTTTTCTTTGTTCTTTGATTAAAACTGAGGAAATTCGCCTAAACTAGCACCATGTGGACTTCCAGAATGCTCCTTGGACTTGCCTCAGAAAAAACCTGGCGTTGCTATGGGACCTTTGTCCCACCTCAACTTCATTGCAAGTTGCACAACTTCCAGTGCAACTCAAGTATATGCTTTGAATCTAGCACATGTTTCCAAAATCTGCTTAGAAATTTAGTCATCTTAATTGTCTGAAAATCAAAGTCATTACACTTTGGTCGTATTCTTTTTGTTAGAATCACACAAGATTTGACTACCAAAAGCTTCCTAAATCTAAAGTCTTAGGCCTTCAAATTTAACATATCCACCTTGCCATTTATTTGTAATTTTGTATTGTGCATTGTACTAGTTTTGCTCTAGGACTTCAGCTTTTTTCACTTATAAGAAATCACATTCCAATTCAAGTTGTAATATGTTTTCCCAATAATTAAATAGTAAATGTCTTCATTGATAATATATATACACAATTCAATACAAGATACATAGTCTTGATTTAATAGAAAGTCATATGATTTTAGAGATGTTTTTGGCACTTCTAATTTCTCATTTATTTCATTAGAAAGAAAAAATTTTCTTTCTTCTTTATTTTATATTAATTATTGTTTAAATGCTATTCTCATCCAAAATACTTATGTGTCTTACTTAACTTTAAAAATCTTATGGTTATGCTATGTATTAGTATTTTTGTTGTTCTAGTTGCAAGATGTCGTACTTTGTGTCCTTACATAAATATTTACAAACTATTAAAATACATTAGGAACAATTACCTTGCTTTAGTGTCTTTTCTATCTAAAGAAGTGACTTACAATCACTCAATAAGAAACCTACTTTAGAAAGACCCACAATTTAAGTCCATTATTAAGTCCTTTCCACCTTCTGCATATAAGCTTATAAATTTTTTTCTTTACAAAATTCTCAAAGTAATTTTATTCTTTGTGTATCTTATAATTTCTCTTTTGTCATATTCCTTCTAAGTCTTTTTATCTTATTCTATGAATATACTCCTTTCTTACTATGCAATACCTCAAGTTTTTATTAACTTAACAATTATATTTTAGATCCTTGATTTAAGTACATTCTTAGTATTATTTTTTTTTTCATTATTATTATTATTATTATTATTATTTATTTTTGGCTCTTCTTCTACTTTAAAAGGTAGAACTATATTTTCTGCAATTTCCTAAAGTGCCAATCCTTGTTGTAATCAACTTCTTGGAACTAAAGAAAGTATTGACTATATTAAGTGATTGAATATTTTTTATTAACTATATAATATAGTATAGTATAGTATAGGTGGTGCAAATTGGAACCAATAAAATCAGTTGATTACAATTTAAAGTTGAATTTAATATAATTGATTGTAATAAAGGTTGGCTCTATGTGAATTTTTTTTAATGTCTTAAATTTCTCTCATATATTCATTTAAATTCATATAAAAGATATTTTTTGAATATAAAATAATATAAGTGCCTCTAATATTAATGCATTTCTAAAATCATATTAATTTATTCTAGTATTTTATTCTATATTTCTTCTTAAGAAGAATTTTGAGCTTATCTTTGTATAAATCTTCTTAATTAGCTACAAACTTCTTAAGCACCAATACATAGAATACTAGATATTACTTTAATATTTACTTTTTTATATACAAAAATATTTATGCAAAAGATTTAAACCATCTCATATAGATTATTCCACTTTTATGTCTATTATAGAATGAGATTTATTGGATAATTTAATTTACTTGAGTTAATCTATAATTTTTTATTTTAGAAATATTGTACATATTTATAGCTTTCATTTACCTATTTTTATTAAGAAATGTAAGAAAAATCAAGCCAATAATGTATTGTTTAATAGATTTTTTCTCTATTGTGCTCCATCTATTGTGCCATGCCTATTACATAGAATCATGATTTTATTTTTTTGACACTAATATGATATATAAATTAAATGCATTAAAATTAAAATCTACTTAAAATAATAAGTTATCTTTTAACTTATTTTAAAATGTGATATAATTAAACTTTGAAATTATAAATTAATTTATTAAATAAAAATGGTCATTTTCTACATAATTTAGAAGATATATTAAATAATTGATATTCATTATTTTTGTTTAGATATCTATTTGTTGATGCCAAACCATAGTTATTATAATCTTAGTTCTTAATTTCTTCATCATATATTACTAAAAATTTATTATAAAATTAAAAAATATTTGTACTTATAATAAATATAGGAATTATATATAAAAATATCCAATTTTTAAATAAAAATTCTTCTACTCTTTTAAATATCTTCTCAACTTCATTTTTTAGATTTTTATAGATATAATTGTTGGTATAAACTTGATAATTCTGTTTTATCTTTGTAAAAAAACATTTAGAAGTAAAGTAATTAAATTTTGATAATCATATCATATAGTTCATAGAGACATCTTTAAAATATATTTTAGAAATATGAAGTAATTTTAGCAATCTTGCTTTAGTTTGGTTTGAAAGCTTGTTTATTTGGCACTTTAAATAACTTTTGATGTATTACTCTATATCTTTACTTATCAAAAGCGATTACTAATATTTTTTCACAAATTTTAATATGAATCCTATTATTCTATTTCCTAAAAAAGATGCATCTTGTAACTTATATATAATTTTGTGTCTCTATATCTCTTGAGATAAATATTATTATTCTTTATATAAATCAAATATGACCACATTTTTTGGAAGTTGTTCATATTCTTTTTTTTTTTTTCTCTTATTAATGCCAATGAATCATTAGCGAAATTCTAAATATAATTAAAAAGTAAAGACTCATCTTTTTTTTTTACCTCAACTTAAAAAATTAAAGACCGTTAATGAAGTTTTAAAAATTGTTAAAAAAAAATAGAAAAAAAAAGACTTTAATAAAATAAAATTAATGATACTTTCTTCATGAAGTTGATATTTTTTTTAAATCTAAGTCAAATCAATTAGAAATCAATCCTTTAAGTTAGACAAACAAGCTTCTTACTTTGTTTTTATTTCTTTCTATTATATATTTGTTCTTTGCTAATGTTCTACTTCTAATAATAAACTTTATATTATATATTTTTTAGTAATAATATTCTATTTTTTTATCCCACTTAATCCTATATCTTTTGAATTTTTTTTTCTTAAAATTTTTTCTTAGATTGATCTAGTCTTCATAAACTTTATGGACTTTGCAAACTTGTGTACTTTTACTTCAAGGCGTTTCATTTTCATTTTTTACACATCTTCCATTATAAAAGAGACTAAATTATTATATAAACTATCTTTTGATTTTGTAGAGATATTTTTCTTAGTTAAAAAAAAATCTAAGATATTTTATTTTGTAGAGATATTTTCTTTGTAAAGTTTGTCTTTGCTTCATAGAATTGTGTTTCCAAAAGTCTGTTGTGTTTACCTTTGTATCTTTTTAGAATTATTATACATTTATTTTTCATTAGAAATTATATCTTCTATTATTTTCTTTCTCAAATTCTTTTTTGGTCTTTTAATACCTTCTATAATTATTAAGAATTTATTTTCTATGTCTAATATAAAGTGATCTTTATTCAATTTAAGACATACCCTCTTGTGATTTTATCCACCATCTTGTTTGTTTTATTTTATTTTATTTTATTTTTTTAACTTTTACTTTGAATTTTAAGGACTCTCCATGGATACTTCTAACTTACAATACAATCAACTTTGTATGTCAAATACTAAGGCTTTGATACCACATGTAGTGACTCTAACTTCTAAAATCTTATTTTACTTGATTTTTTTCTCTCTTTGCTTAGATAATTCATTATATGTAAAATATAAGTAGTGTTAGAAAAAATACACATAAAATTATAGAAATATGCTTAAATTATTATATTGTAGAATTTTAAGATCTTTCCAATATTTACTCTAAAAAACTTATTAACAATGCCAAAGCCTCATTACAAATTCAATATAATAGTTGCAACTCAACTATTTGGTTGCAACATGACTTTCTATCATAACTTAACCCTAAGTTTTGCTTTAAGTTTACTTAACATTTCTAATACCCACTTCAAAACTTAGCCATCTCAATTACTTTTATAACTAACTCTTTTAGTTTTGTGCTTTACATACTTATCTTTTTGCAATTACTACTTAAAACTTGGCTACCAAAAACCTACTCACTATAGAATCTTGAACATTTGGGCTTAATGACTCTAGCTTGCTACTCTTATGTCATTTTGTTCTATACTGCACATGTGAGTTAGAGCTTTAGTTTTTATCTACTTGCAATAAATCATGTCTCATTTTTAACTATATAAAAAAACTCTAATAGATCCTTGAATAAATAAGATTTAATTAATTTTCTTATTTTCTGAATATTTTTCCTTATTCTATTCTGACCCTTATAAACTTTTCCATCATTTAATGAGCCTTCTTCCTCAATTCTACTGTATACTAATATAAATGGGCTTTATCCTATTGTCTTTCTAGGAGCCTTTGTGGCAATATCTTGCATCAATAATGTAAATAGTACTTGTAATTAAGCTTATACATATAAAAAAAAACCCAAGAGAAGGAGAATAGGTTAATGAATGAAGAATGGAGAACCCTTGATTAAATTGGGAGTAAGTTACGGTCGTGGGGAAGGAAACAAGCCCATTTCTAAATTAACATATCACTGATCTTTCCACATGTCTCAGGTGTCCCGGAAGTCACCGCCACGTACCCGCGGCGAGAGGAAGACGACCAGATACGCCGGTTAAGCCTGTCGCCCCGCAGCCGATGTGGAACCGGAAACCGGCAACCGGCGTCGGATCCGACCAGAGCCGAGCACGAGGGGGCGGCGCCGGGGAACGAGGCCCAACGAGGGCTTTGATCTCGCAGCATTTACGCTTGCCAAGCCCTCCTCGTGTTGCTTCTTGTGCTGCTCTCCGTGCGCGCGCTCCATCACCGCCGCTGACCCATTTCGCCCCTCTTCGCAGGGCGTGCCAGTACTACTCCCCCCCTGATCTCCTTCTCTTGCATTTTCTGCTCTTTCAGTCTCAATCCATGCTTCTTCTTGGTAAACACGATCGGGACGATGCTGGGGTTTCGTCATTCCTTAAGGTTTGTAGGGGTTCCGGAGTCTGTTTAGCTACACGTCTTACAGGTTTGTCATATCCTTTAATTAATCTGTGACAGTAGCTGCCAGTATCGCAGCTTGTAATGTGAAGTTGGTTTTCAGTGTGGCATTTTTATATGGTTGGGGGTTATTTAGAATGTGATCTAACAGCGTCTGGTTGTTTTAGGGTGGCGTGGAGTGCTGTGTGAAACGACTGCGGGTATGTGGATTATAGAGCAGCCGTAGTCTGGATGTTAGCACTTGATGTTGTGTTGTTGAATGATTAGGTTTTCTATGTTCAGGTGGAGTCATTTTCTTGCAGTGATAATGACTTTGGCGGGCACTGTGTCTGATGGGGCGCACGCGCAATGTGATTCGAGATGTGCTTAGGAAAACTTAAGTTCAATGTTGGGAATTGGATTTGTTTCTCGGTGTATCTTATTTGGAGAGAATCAGCGGTTTTCTGCTCTGCTTTACATCTCTTAAAAATGTCGAATTTTTGTTTGGTTATTACCAAGAGTGTTGAGATCTCCATGCTTCTTGATGTGTAACATCGGTGCTTGATTCTGTAATACGTAGTTACAATGCGAATACTTTGAAAATTCGTCTTATGTACTTCTCATAGCATGCATGTCGACATACGATCTACTTGCACCCTTCCTTTGTAACTAGGATCGGTAGTCGGGACTATTTGATGCAAGCATTTTTACAACAGATTTCCTTTTCTAATATTTGGAGCAAGATATACAAGGTAGGATCTGAAGTGAGTTCGTGGTTAGCGCAGGGACTGAGCATCTACGACAATGGCTGACCAGCGTTGCCCCAGCGTAGTGAGCAAGATGGGAGGGACGTCATACCTGGGATCCAGGTTGGCACCTGGCCGCGCCATGTACCCCGCGTCGGAGATGAGCACTCCGTTCGCGGCCGCTGCCAAGCTGGGTGCGATGCCCAGGCAGACGGGGCTGAGCTCCCTGTGCCCCATCGACGTGACCGGCGGGAGGAACATGTCGAGCCAGGTGTTCGTTCCGGCCGCGAACGAGAAGACGTTCGCGTCGTTCATGACCGACTTTCTGATGGGCGGTGTGTCGGCCGCGGTGTCGAAGACGGCCGCTGCGCCCATCGAGCGCGTGAAGCTGCTGATCCAGAACCAGGACGAGATGCTGAAGTCGGGGCGTCTGTCGCACCCGTACAAGGGCATCGGCGAGTGCTTCAGCCGAACGGTGAAGGACGAGGGAATGATGTCGTTGTGGCGTGGAAACACGGCGAATGTGATCAGATACTTTCCGACGCAGGCACTGAACTTCGCGTTCAAGGACTACTTCAAGTCGCTGTTCGGGTACAAGAAGGACAAGGACGGGTATTGGAAGTGGTTCGCGGGTAACTTGGCGTCGGGAGGTGCTGCGGGAGCGTCGTCTCTGCTGTTCGTGTACTCTCTGGACTACGCGCGTACCCGATTGGCGAACGACGCGAAGTCGTCGAAGAAGGGAGGAGGCGAGAGGCAGTTCAACGGGCTGGTGGACGTGTACAAGAAGACGTTGGCGACGGACGGAATCGCGGGGCTGTACAGAGGGTTCGCGATCTCTTGCGCGGGTATCATCGTGTACAGGGGTCTGTACTTCGGAATTTACGACTCGCTGAAGCCGGTGGTGTTGGTGGGCAACCTGGAGGTGAGAGGAGGATTGCCGATGCCTGAGCTCTCGTGTTTTTTTTTTATTTATTTTTTTATTTTTTTATTTTTTTATTGTGGGGAGGGGCGGGGGTGAGGATTTTGTGTGGGATTGGGATGGGGTTGGGTGATTGGGGAGGGGAGAGCAGCGAAGAAGGCAAGTGATGTTTTGGTAAAAGGGTGAAGTGGGACGAAGTGGCAGATATGTTGGGTGCATGGGAGTGTGGCTTGGGAGGACAGAGAATGGGACTGACGGGTCTGGAATGGACTTGCAGGGCAATTTCTTGGCGAGTTTCTTGTTGGGATGGGGAATCACGATCGGAGCGGGTCTGGCGTCGTACCCCATCGACACGGTTCGGCGTAGGATGATGATGACCTCCGGAGAGGCAGTGAAGTACAACGGGTCGATGGACGCGTTCAAGCAGATTTTGGCGAAGGAGGGAGCGAAGTCGTTGTTCAAGGGCGCTGGTGCGAACATCCTTCGTGCGGTGGCTGGAGCCGGAGTGTTGTCGGGATACGATCAGTTGCAGATCTTGCTTCTGGGCAAGGCCTACTCTGGAGGCAGCGGCTGAGTGCTTCGTAGCGGATTATGAAGAGAATTTTGTTGCCCTGGTCTTCTTTGTGCTGGAAATTTTAGATGAATGGAGACTTCGTATTTGTCTGCATTGATGACGGTATTTTGTTGCTTGTAGGTTTGTGCTCTCCTGCATGGGGCATCTTACAAAATAATATTAGTTTTGTTGCTTCAGATGTACCGTTTTATTTTTGGGCAAAATTCTATGTGGCTCGCGGCTTTCTCTTTGGTTACTGAACCTTGCAGTGGTCATGTTGATTATTTTTCGGGCTTTGAATCCTCTTCTTTTATTTTTGATGTTGGATTGTTGTGTACTTGTTGTTGATTGTCGAGCATTTGGCATTTTTACGGCATGTGGTAGCACTCGCTTTCAAGCGACGGCGGCGTTCGTAATGCTACACCAGTGGAGTAAATTCCTCTCAGTGAGTGGATTTGTCTTATGACATTGTCTTGTTCATGCCTCAAATCTCTTCACCTTGACAAGGATGCTGTTGTTCGAATGGACGAAGTGGGGATCAGTGGAAATGGAACTTGACCTTAGATATTTCTAAAATGCAATCCGTGTCACTGAGTCGATCTTTTAATTAATTCGGAATTTCTGTGACAGATCAAATCCATGAATTCTGGTAATTCGGACTGGAAGTTTGAATAATTTCCAGACGGATGAGAAGGATACATTATTACCTTCTGCTCGTTTCGTATTATCCTCGTACATGTACATTTGGTGTCACTGTTTCTCCCATAGTTTCTGTTTTAAGGTTGGTGATGGCACATTTTATGAAGTGAGGGGAGTTTAATGCAATATAATTTCCATTATTTCTCATTCTTTGTGCGCCAATAACAACGTATGACGTGGCTCCCTAGTTATTTCTTTTTTGAGTCCTAACTCTCAATTTTTGCATTGTGAACGAGTTGATTTTTGGACTCAGAGCTTTCTTTTGGCTCGCCATTGAATTGTACTCTAAAAAGATTCATGCATTTGTTTTATAAATATTTACAACGTTTCCAATGTTAAGATTATTTTTTGTTGTGTGCATTTGCAATTAATTGATTTTTCTTGATATTAAGATTATTATTATTATTGTTATTTGATCATCATATTTTGTTTAAATAATTGTAAATACTTCCGATTAAAAAAATTGTACCTCCATAATTGTTTCCAGCAATACAAGTGTAAATGAATATTCAACAATTTAAATTTTCAGAAGAATTTTAAATGAAAATATTAATGATTTATTGTAAAAGAAGTTAAAATATGTCAAGTGTTACTTTTTATTAATTGCATCTATTTATACGAATAAATATTTGTATAATAAATTACAAAGATTAATTTCTTTTAATATGTTGATTTTATTTCTAATAATAAAGAATATGGTTGTAACCTCTATGCACAAGAAAAGTTATATCTTAGATTTTTTTTTTTAAAAAAAGACAAGTCAATTTGTATCAAGAGAAGAAGAAAGATCAACATTACGATATTTAAATGCAACATTTATGCAATAATTTTGCTTAACCATATTGAATTTCAGAGTAGTTCGACAAGAACTAAGAGGCAAAAAAGTCATTTGTTTTGGTATACAAAAAAGAATTGCAAAGACCATATTTTTACTTTTTATTTTATTTTTTATTTTTTCCAAGCATTTATAGATTTTTTTTAAAAAATAAGGTATTAAAATGTGGATATAATGAACATTAAAATAACACCATTAATAATCTTATGTACATTTATGGGTATTTTTATTTTTATTTTTATTAAGATAAACTCATGCTATAAAAAAACTATTTTATCCCAAAATAAAGTTTATGAAAAGATTACTTTGAACACCAACAATAATAGAGTAGGTATAAAGTTGGATAAAGTTATAGAATGAGGTCTTTGGGTCACAAAAGATGCAAGAGATTTCCATAAATGAGTTCAAATCTATAAGTTTTGTTCTAATGGGATTTGACTAAAAATAAATAAAATTTTGATATAAGTTAATAATAGATTTGTATTTGAATGCCAAATTATATATATATATATATATATAGACTAATGCTTTATGAATTATCAATTTTGTTACATATTTATGAATTACATGTATGGTGTGATAAAAGAAAATTACAAGTGATTGAAACAAGACTTGTTAAATAACCTAATCAACTTTTAAAGAATTTATCAACAGATTTAGATATACTATATATTTATAATTTAGTATTGAAAGATATTTGGCCAAAATTATAGACAAGCATGATTGATAAGTTTAAGAAAATAAAAATAAATAATTTTAAAATTATAAAAAATAATAAAAATATTATAAAAGAGTAAAAGTGTATAAACTAAAGAAAATGTTATTTATTTTTTTGATTTAGTCTTATTGTAATGATATTAAATTTTTTTCAAACATCATTGTAAAAGATGAGAATATTGCAAAATAACAAAATTCAAGATATTACAAATTAATTATAGAAACTAATTGTAGAAACTAGTTTTTATAAACCTACTATTTTATTTTAATCTTTACCATTATCTCTTTAATGGTTACATTTTTAATACTTTTTATACAAGAAGAAATAAATAAGTAACATAAAAGTAAGCTTAGAATAAGAAGTGATGTACAATTGTAGTAGAATAGGAATTTGGTTGGTATTTGGTATTAGAAGAACAGAAATATCAAATGGCTCCTTGCATTAGAATATATTAATAAATCTCAAACTCTTAACTTTGTTTAACTAATTAAAAATAATTTTATATTTTTAGTTTTTGTTTTGTGTTTTGTGTTTTGTGTGTTTTTTTTTTTTTTTTTTTTTTTTTTTTTTTTTTTAAATCTTAATTTTTTAACCTTGCATCCTTACTATCAGTATTTTAGGAACTTTTGACAATTTGTTGCATGTCACTAAGTTGCTCACAAAATTTTAAATAACTATTCAACATCCATGTTTGTAGACTTGTACAAATGACAAAAAAATGAGGTAAAAATATCAAAGTGCAAATTAAATACCTATTTTACAAAATTGGAGATACTCTTGGCTATATACTTAGAAATGAATTAGAGCACAATTAAGGACACACTCCCAAACTGCTTAGGAGACATCCCTTTGACAACTCTACAAAAAGAAGTTCCATCTAATTGCAAAAATGTGTCCAGCTTTCCTTTCTCCCTTCCCCAAGCCTCACATCCCTCATTTACACATTCAAACTCTTATTTGTGCAAAAAAAAAAATCAGGGTGAATTTACAGTAAAAGATATGGGTGCATGACTTCTGAAACTTCTTCTTTTTTTCGATTTTTTTCATTGATTAAGTCTATAACCAATTATAATACATTTCATGACATTCTGTCAATCACTTTTAAAATCTTGTTAGTCTTGTTTAAAGAATATTTTATTGTAGATTTAGCCTAAATTATTTCAATACAGACAAGAGCTTTATTTTGTGAACAGTAAGATACTTGGCATGGGGGTGTCCATGCAGTATAAGGGGCTATTGACCTAGCTATTTACTATTTAACTAAAACAACATTGTTTTCACTTATGTTTTTCTCGTCTATGTTAAAGTTAGCGTTGATAATGAGATTGTTCTCTAAACAACTAGGTTTCATACCAAATGACTCAATAAATAATGTATAATCTATATATACATGTATATATAAACTCTCATATCAGATGTACAATTTTCGTAAATTTCACCAGCGAGTAGGCTCGTTGAAACATTTTATTCCATCAGCAATTCATTGTTGACAAATGTAACAGAGTTCGTGCCAAATTATCATGAAAACAAGTTGGACGTTTCATGTTCCTGTTTTTGAGAACTTACAAATAAACGTATTACTTTTATTGCAGATGACAATTTAGAAAATTTGTTTTTATTTGTTGAGGTGTATAGAATGATATTAAATGAAGATAAAAAGAGAGCACAATGGACGAACCAGAAGCCAGCAATTCTTGCTTCATAAGAGTTGTAAATAAGCACATTATGGCGCCTAAGTTGAGTAATCTCGAAGTTAATTCGAAGACACAAAACTAACACGATAACCAGCTCAGCGCACTATACGCATGTGCACTATGATAGTCAGAACGCGAAAGAACTCAAAAAGTTACACTACAAAAAAGAAAGTGCTAAATTAAAGATTGACCAGGGCAACAAAATTCTCTTCATAATCCGCTACGAAGCACTCAGCCGCTGCCTCCAGAGTAGGCCTTGCCCAGAAGCAAGATCTGCAACTGATCGTATCCCGACAACACTCCGGCTCCAGCCACCGCACGAAGGATGTTCGCACCAGCGCCCTTGAACAACGACTTCGCTCCCTCCTTCGCCAAAATCTGCTTGAACGCGTCCATCGACCCGTTGTACTTCACTGCCTCTCCGGAGGTCATCATCATCCTACGCCGAACCGTGTCGATGGGGTACGACGCCAGACCCGCTCCGATCGTGATTCCCCATCCCAACAAGAAACTCGCCAAGAAATTGCCCTGCAAGTCCATTCCAGACCCGTCAGTCCCATTCTCTGTCCTCCCAAGCCACACTCCCATGCACCCAACATATCTGCCACTTCGTCCCACTTCACCCTTTTACCAAAACATCACTTGCCTTCTTCGCTGCTCTCCCCTCCCCAATCACCCAACCCCATCCCAATCCCACACAAAATCCTCACCCCCGCCCCTCCCCACAATAAAAAAATAAAAAAATAAAAAAATAAATAAAAAAAAAACACGAGAGCTCAGGCATCGGCAATCCTCCTCTCACCTCCAGGTTGCCCACCAACACCACCGGCTTCAGCGAGTCGTAAATTCCGAAGTACAGACCCCTGTACACGATGATACCCGCGCAAGAGATCGCGAACCCTCTGTACAGCCCCGCGATTCCGTCCGTCGCCAACGTCTTCTTGTACACGTCCACCAGCCCGTTGAACTGCCTCTCGCCTCCTCCCTTCTTCGACGACTTCGCGTCGTTCGCCAATCGGGTACGCGCGTAGTCCAGAGAGTACACGAACAGCAGAGACGACGCTCCCGCAGCACCTCCCGACGCCAAGTTACCCGCGAACCACTTCCAATACCCGTCCTTGTCCTTCTTGTACCCGAACAGCGACTTGAAGTAGTCCTTGAACGCGAAGTTCAGTGCCTGCGTCGGAAAGTATCTGATCACATTCGCCGTGTTTCCACGCCACAACGACATCATTCCCTCGTCCTTCACCGTTCGGCTGAAGCACTCGCCGATGCCCTTGTACGGGTGCGACAGACGCCCCGACTTCAGCATCTCGTCCTGGTTCTGGATCAGCAGCTTCACGCGCTCGATGGGCGCAGCGGCCGTCTTCGACACCGCGGCCGACACACCGCCCATCAGAAAGTCGGTCATGAACGACGCGAACGTCTTCTCGTTCGCGGCCGGAACGAACACCTGGCTCGACATGTTCCTCCCGCCGGTCACGTCGATGGGGCACAGGGAGCTCAGCCCCGTCTGCCTGGGCATCGCACCCAGCTTGGCAGCGGCCGCGAACGGAGTGCTCATCTCCGACGCGGGGTACATGGCGCGGCCAGGTGCCAACCTGGATCCCAGGTATGACGTCCCTCCCATCTTGCTCACTACGCTGGGGCAACGCTGGTCAGCCATTGTCGTAGATGCTCAGTCCCTGCGCTAACCACGAACTCACTTCAGATCCTGATTGAGATAAGCAAACAGAATTTGAACAAAGAAAGTTCTTCAATGCGAGTTTAGTTTTTGAAGACACTGAACCTCTCCTACAAAGCGCAGTCGTTACTCTGGGTTGTGCACCTGACATTAGGGGTTGATTTCGACATAGTAGAAGCTTTTAAGGGAACTTCAAACTTTGTGTCTAGAACACTCGGATACAATCGAAGAACACACAGGCTAGTAGGGGAAACTTGAGCCACTAGTTACTGACAATATAAATTAATCGATACAGAGACAAAGATACACTGGAATGTAGTTCATAGGGTTAGAGCGAGATAAATTGGTTAGGATTCTAGTGCGAGCTCAAATCGCCACATTATTCCAGGGGATCTCACAGTATAACTCTGAGGTGCCGCAACTTTGTGACCCACATTCGATCAAGCCAGCACGGAGTCAAGCCAAGGGCAGAATACCAGTGGTGAGGACAGCAAAAGTGGAGACTCAACAACAAATAATTCTAAGGAAGCAGGCATACATTGCCAGACTCACGCGACGATAGACGAAGATCCTGGCGACTAGTCACGCAGAGTGACCGTGAACACCCAGGTTAAGCTAAAATCGAGCTTTTGACCATGAACCACCTATGAAGATATCAAGCATCGTCTCGAAAACCCAGAAAAAACTCGGCCAACTGCATCGACAAACAAGTTGGGTTCACAGAGGTCGAGAAAACATACGGGGGAACCCTGACACACAGGGCAAGACGGAGCGCGGCGGCGATGAAGGTGGTGCCTGCTGCTGCTGGGAGAGCAGGATGAGCAGGAAGGAAGAAGACGACGGAGAAGAGGTGCAGATCTTCCAGTTTAGGGGTCAAATGGGCTGCTTGTCGCTCCCCCGGCCGGGCGAGTAGATGGCAGCCCGTCACAGGTGCCGAAGGGAATCCCTGGAGTATCCGGTGGCCTCCGAGATGAAACTCCGAAAGAGTCCACTGGAGAACCGGATACTGTGGGTGGCCAGCGCCCTTGGCTGCGCTGGAAGGGCCTCACCCGCCGCACATCTACTCACTCACCGTCTTTTTGCCGGTGACTCTCCCAGTTGCTCATGCCCTACTTGTTCCCTCGCCGCTCGCTTCAGTGAATCTCGTCGTTCGCTGTGATTGGCCCCGTTCCCCGCGCTCCTGATGCTCTTCTTCTGGGTCAGGGAACAGAGTTCATCACGTACTTCGAGCAATTATTCCGTATGCCATTTCGTATGTTCTAAATATCTTGTGTTCATGGAAATCTTTTGTGAATACATATAAGTGCTTTATATAGTCTAGTTTGTAGATTAGAGTGGTGTCCAGCAAATTTTACCGCGTCTATAGAATTGAATATCGTGCTAAGATTGAATATTTCATGAGAATAATTTTCGAGTTCATCGTAGTGGAACAATTTCTAAAGTGAATAGCATATTCTAGTGACCTGAAATTTTCTTCATCATCTATTCAATCAATCTAAGTGATTGAATCATTTGTATATAGATTTTATTTTATTTTTATAATTTTCATAATTTTTTTCAATGGAATCGCAATCATCAAATAATAGTTGGATATATATATATATATATATATTAAGAAACATATATTGTGGAGTGACAAGGGGTACTTTAAAACCTCAATTCAAATCATTCCAATACTTTGCTGCATTTAAGTAATACAAAATATTAATTCGTTTTTTATAAACCATATTATCCTTCTTATCATTCAAAGTAAACATATGCATCTCATTAATCCAAACATGGATCCCAATGTTAAACAAATTAATAATTGTTTTTTGTACATGATATGAATACACAATATAAAAGAAATATGCCTAATATAGATGTTGATTTTCAAATGCAGATGCTTAAATCAATAAAGATAATTTGTATTTTGTATGAGCATAATTTTCATAACAATTATTGTAAGTATTTTTTTTTTTAAAGTTCATATGTATATAATAATCTTGAATAAAAATAAAAATCATAAATAGGAAATTCATAAGATGCACTACAAAAAATAAATTATAATTAAATAATTATTTTTAATTATGAATTAATTTAAATATAAAAGATAAACATAAAAAATAAAAAATAAAAACTACTTGAAAATACTTTTGTTTGAGCAAGTTTTGAAGGTTGTATAGAAACGCCAATAGACATTTGAATTTTGAAACACAAATTTTCTTGAGAAGTGTGGTTGGGACTAACAATGCTTTGGGTGTTTCTTGTGGGTGGGATGAAATAATGGATTGTACTCAACTTGCAATACACAAAACAATATAAGAATCCATACATTAAAGATTCATTTATTTAAGATCTTTATTAAATAAAGATATTTTTATTGTACTACTTTAAAAGAAAAAATATTTATTTATTTTTTAAATCACATATTAGAATTTAAAAAGTTGATAGATGTATTTAAATTGATAGATATATATTTTTAAAAGATCAACAATAAAATTTACTAAATTTTATTGTTAATTTTTAAAAAAATTAATAATATAATTAAATTTTGAAGATAATAAATGCAAAAAAATACATGCAATAGTTGTAGTTGAATGAAATTAGCAAATATAGAAATAAAGCAAGTAATATCTATAGATAAAATTAATTTAGATACAAACTTTAAAGACTTTGGTAGGATTTTATTTTTAATTTTGTGCTTATGAATCCAATTAAAACTTCAATACAAAAATTATATCTTATTTAGCCATTTGATAACTTGATGTGGTAGAATGCTATTTTTTGAAGGTATGCATCTGTAAGTATGCATACTTCATTTAAATATAGAGGATTGTCAAATAGTTTCATCTATCATAACCATCATGAAAAAAAAAAAAAATGGATTTATTTTTCCATTATTAGATCTACAACCAATTAAAACCAATCACTTTTATTACAATTATTATATTCTTCATCAAGGGTGGATCTATTTTGTAAAAGCATGGATCTATTTAACATTCTCCTAAATATATTATCCTAACAAATGCATTATTTTTTTTGTATCATTTATTTTAAAGTTATTTAATTTTAAAGATGTAAATATTTATTATTATTATTATTATTATTATTAAAATATCATATTTTTTGTTTTCATACACAACAATAATTGTATAAAAGATTAAAAAAATTGAAATTGTTAAGTTATTACATCAACTAAACTTTATAAAATAAAGATTTACTATGTTTGATTTAATTTAAATCAATTTTGAAAAGAAAAGTATGTATAAGAAAAAAGATAATAAAAAGGGAGTTGAAGTTCTTACTTGAAGAACCGGAACAACATATGAAACAAATGTTTTTCTACTTACTTAATTTAATAAAAATACACCAATTTCCATACCAAAATAAATGCAATTTAAATTGAATTACCATACATATTTTAAATGAATCAATATCACAATATCGTGGTTATATCACATTCTTAAAAGAAGACCTAAGAAATTATACTCTGAATCTGTAATTCAGCGTCATGATAGAAGAGTTCGTATGATTGTAGTAGGCAATGAGAATATTTCAAATTATTAAAGTCTGAAAATACCCTGATTAGTTTTTGATTGTTAAGCTCTTCGCCGTTGACCGCGACGTCGCAGGTTCGAAACGCATCTTATACATGTGGGCAGGGCTTCCCTGCTGACAGGTCCCCTCGTCTTGTGTCTCCGCAGGCATCGTCCTCCGTCGTTGGCCCTCCGTTCCCTCTAAAGTGAATCCAGCCTTTGCATCAGAGATCGGGTCATGCTTTCGGTGGCAGTAAATGGGTTTCCTTTGCAACGACCGAGCCTTCGAAATCTCCGGATTCGGACCGTCAGTTCAATATTGATCAGCCACCACCCTCCAGGTTGTCGACAAGTGGGAGCTGGTAATTGGGTCATGTGCTCCAACCTGCGGTGGTGTTTCCTGATTCGTCGTCGCTTCCAACTGTCGCAGGCTGTAAATAAACGGGGACAGAAAGGTGGGAGATGTCAATGGTAGTTGCACTGTTCAAGACTGGCTTCTAGAAACAAAGACACTCAGTCACTTTGTGAACCAGAATCAACGTCTCCTCTGCCTGGTAGTTTACATGACACGAGTTGTTATTGTGCACATCTGAAATGCACACCCGAAGTAGAAACCGAGTGACTCACCTTTCGAATAGCAGGCGAAGTGGGTGTGAGGTTGGATTCAGATAGGTCACTCCTCGTTCTTGGTCTTGAAGTTGGATTTAAGGGACTGGGCGACTGGTCAAAACATTTCAAAGATGAACGTCAATAAACTTCGATAAAATTAGCAGCAGCGGCAGCAGCAGAAGAAGAAGAAGAAGAAGAATTTCAAATGCGACATTGGGACTCACTTGGAACATGTGACCAATCTGCAACGGGACCATCACTAGCTTGAGGTGACAAAGAACCAACATCTCCCTCAGGTAGAAGTTGAGAAAGGCTTGCTTCCTCGAAGTGGGTCCCAAATAATTCATCAACGACGCTCCCAAGAGGCTCGTGTTTCATTGACGAGGATCTTGACTCTGTCGGTGACCTCGAGAGGGAAGGAGTTATTATAGGAGCTTTTGGACCATCCCTGCCTAACTGGGAGTTGGCGCTGTAGGAGTTGGCCGAGCCCATCATCACGCAATGTTTTCGTGGTGGTGAATCAGGCGGCGACAAGAGAGCAGAGACATTAGTGCCCTTCATGGATGATTCACTCGCGGACGAAGTGTATCCATCATCTTCTACTGCAGAAGACGAGGCAATGTTCGAGTAGGAGTTTGAGACATTTGATGAAGAAGCGCAGAACAAATCGTTATGGCCTGTTCGGCAAGACATTTGCACTTTCTGTTCCACATGAGCTTCTCCATGCGGAACTATTCCACGCAAGCTTTGAATCTCCTGAGAATGTAACCCATCTTCCGACATACTACCTTCGACACAACCCGTGAAATCTATGCCACTGTTAAGTTCCAGGGGCGAGACTCGTGACGAAATGCTACATGTTGCCAACCGTAAGTCACTGTCCCTGGCACATATAGAGCTGCTGTTGGGAATAGACACAATTCGGTCTGTTCTAGCCAAGATCAATTGGCTGTGCTGTCTTAGGGCACGAAGAACTTCATGGTCTGGCTTAAAAAACTGACCGCTACCCTCTGCAGAAACTCCCTGCTCTCGAACTTGAACTCGTGTTGGTGCATTTTGAACATCCTGAAGCGATATCGAAGGATGAGATTGGTAGAGAGGCTTCTCGGGAGGCTTATGACGAAGCTTTACAAGTTTTGGAGAACTCTTGTGAACATTCTCAACAAGATTCCGTGTCTCTCCATTGGTACAGCTTGTGATATTCAGTTCATTTCCGGCCCCTTCAGAAGAACAATAGGCCTCTTGGGGATTATCGTTGCCATGCTGGACAGTGGTAATTTCAGTAGATGCTTCACATTCTAAAGGCGAATCGGGATCTTCAAAATGAAACTTGGGCTTCTGGTGCTCCTCAGGGCATGGTCTTATATTCAAATCGTTGCTCTGGTTAAGTTTGACAATTCCCTGAGGTGGTAGTTTGTGACAGTTGTATTTCACATTTACCCTCAACACAGAGGGATTAAAAAACGCCACCTGTTCGGGATCTGGCGCAACCAGATTATGGGAATCAGGCTTGGAATCCACCCGATTATGTACATCAAATGGACTTCGCAAGCGAGCTTCAAAATCGACGTTGCGGCTTGTTGTTGTCGATGCATCCACGTAGCAGCTTTCATCCTGCTCAGAAAACTCCCCACCAGTATATGCTCCAAGACTTTTTTGTCCCAATTTTGCGTCCTCGATAGTTTTGGCAGTGATTTCGAACAGGTTCGATACATGGCTTTCATCCTCTTCAGGAAATTCTCGCTTCAGGAAACTAACCTCTGGAGATCCATGCTTTGCAAGAGACCGAGTCTTTTCAGGAGTCAAGTCACCTTTGATCGGAATCTGGAGCACCCAGTCTAGTTGCTGTGAACAAGGGTCGGGGGCAAGGTCGCTTGTAAATCCTTCCACATTCTCGAAGTGAGATGATGATAACCGATCTCTGTTTTAAATTTTCGATACCATGTTCAAAGCTTCATTAACCAAAAGTCTTTGCAAATAGAAAGGATTACATAAACCTCAAATACATTCAGAGAATTACCTGGGATAAATCAGTGGTCCAGGCTTCTGGAAGGGTTTGTTTGCACTGGTCCTCTTCTGGACAGGAATTGGCGAGAGGTTAGTGTATGATGTTGGTAGGCGCATGTATCGATAAAATTACGAAATGTGTGATAAATGAGCTACATTTTGTACATAACCTGAAAATTTCAACAAAACATGTCCGAGGGCACTGCGGGAAGATGAAGGTTAAGCACCCCACATCTTGTTCGGCTTGTCGTCCTAGTTTCGCTTCCTCAGCTGCTTTTTTCTGGGCGGTGGCCCAGGTGATCCTAAAAAATGTCGGGTCAGAGTATCTCTTCAAACACGCACCTTGCCCAGCTTCATCAAATCTGGTGCGCACAAGTATGATCATTAAAGGCTCCAACAAGTCCATCTTCCATAGATATAGCTTTGAAAAATAATATTCATGCAAAGTAGGACAATGCGACGCTCATTCGTACTCAAGGTGAGCTTCGTACGGGTCGAGAAGAAACAAGCGAGGTGGGAATTGACAGTCGTCATAGAAATTTCGAATAAAGCGCGGAAGCCTCCCATGCACATAAAGATTTTGGTCCATTGGTAGAGGAGCGCGCCACTTTGACCCTGCAATGCTGTGACATCAGATCGCCACGTAGTATATGCAAAATTCTGAAATTGAAAATGGAAACTGTCTTTTAATCCATCCGCAAGTTGCTACTGATACAGCATTCAGTTGCAACTATTTGTTAAAAGTAGGTTATATGCATTATACTTGCAGTGTACGCAAATCGACACTGACTTGCTTCCGCATGCAGTGCCTTCTCCACCAGAGATAGATCTGCTTCTAGACATGCGACCCGGGCCTTCAAGTCTTTGCCTCGTGATGCAATAGTTATGATATCGTCATAAAGGTCGTGGAATATCCCTGTTGCGAGCCTGCAACAATAAACAAACTTTAATGTGTCATTTGGGGCAGCATTGATGCTCGTCTTTATCATCAAACTCCGAACAGGAATTTGAGATCAAAGAAGCGTCCATAATGTCGTCATTTAAATTAAAATAAAAATAAAGCTATCGTTCTTTAAGCAAGGACTCCAACCGGCTAATTTTCGAGGGTGTAGTCTCCAACTTGGAAAAAAATTAAAGAGAATCCAGTCACTGTCTGAGGTAGTTAGTAATCAGATACAGCAATGTGACGACATAGACTCAGTGCCGGAAACATCTAAAGCTGAAAATAAACATATGAGCTTGGCATCTTCGGCTTCATGCTCCAAACCGCCGCTCAAACAATCAAATGAAATGAAAACTAGCAGGGGAGATCACCAAGGCTCCCAAGTTCTAAACTTCATCGAAGCCATCATGTATGATTTGTCGATGTCCTAAACTAATCCCTCTGGGTAGATTGGTAGTCACAAAAGTTGCAACTGAGGGAAGATTGAAATTACTCACTCAGTAAGGTCGCCCAGCTGTCGGACGACACCCACAAGACCGGCCATAGCCACCCCTTCGAGGAGCCCTTGGGAATCATCTTGACCAACAAAGCGATACAGCTCAGGGCTGGCCAAGCTATGCTCGCAACGCACTTCATACCGCACTAAAGGCATTTCAACTGCTTCTCAATTTACTAGGCTTGACTCTCCTCTTAGCTATTCCAAACTGCAAGACAGTGACCTCATTTTCTGTTGGTTGGACATCTCTTCCAATTGGTTGCAGATGCAGTGAATCTTGCACATGTTTCATGAGCACGATAGGGCCAGATACAAGTCATTGCTGCACTCCAGTTAATCAGTCCGGCTCCTCAGATTTTTCTTCTGTCTCAAAGTGGTGTGTCGATTTAAAGTTCGTCACGTTCACTTGTTTGATGATGCTTTTAATAAACTGTCACAGAGACGAGTTTACAAAGAGTTAGAAAAAATTCCGACGGAGAGAATAGGGTCAAACTACAATGCAAATAAGTTTTCTGTTACCCACTTCTGCAGGACCCTGTGCAACGTTGAGGAGCTCACATCAGTAACATTGAAGTACTCGAAAAGATGGCATGCTTCAAAGTTTTCTTGAAGTGAAAACACATTTCATCCAATCTATTCGACTTAATGAATATCACAATTTCACTCTATTCATTGCAGTTTGACGAGGTAAATAAACAGCACTTCAATGCTACGAATGTCAGCATTATAATAATAATAATAATAATAATAATATTATTATTATTAATATTATTATTAATAATAATTTCCTACATGTGGTTGTTCGCCTGCATACTGTCAGTTGTGCTAATTCGTAAATTCAAGGAGATAATTCTTTTTATTTTTTCGGTTCCATGGATCTCACAAATGCTAAGAATGCAGGCTCCTTATGCCAAATCACAGAAGTCTCTACGCAGTCACCAATATCTCAGAAAAAAAGTCCTCCCGAGACTTGAGGATTAATGCTAAGGAAAACTTCCAGCCTAGGGGCGAATCTGATATAGAAGAGACTCTGCGTCAAAATGACCAAAAAACTTTCACATGGATGCAAACGGACGCAAACTTCACCATGTGAAAAGTCTAACCCCAAGCCTCTTCGGCAGTCTCACCTAATTCCAAAAAACTCCGGCCAAACAGGTCCTATGTCGTTCATACACATTGCTGCAGATTGAAACACAGATAAACCCAACACATAACCTAACCCAAGACTCCCTGAAGGCTCTGGAAACAGGTTTCGATTCACAGTACTTTCGTGAAAGGTGGGAAACTCTCTATAGCGGCAATCAGCTTGAGCTTCTCAGCAAACCAGTACAATACAAACACATCGAACGGCACCATCAGAATGGGGTCAAAGGGATAAGATGAAATACACTCACTGAGACTGCGCGTTCTCGTCCATGAAACCTGAATGGTGGGCTGGGGTCCAACCGTTGTGTCGCAACAGAACGCTGAACGAAGCTTTACATTCAAGAAAGAAAAGTGGGTAAGCTCCATTGTTACAAGAAAGCTCACAAGTACTCTCCGACAGCTCAGAAAGACTCAACACTCTAGAGCCTCAACCCTCCAAGCTTTCTAACAGGGAGCTTTACCTCAGCAATGGCAGCTATAATCTCTAATAAAAACAAGCTCCCTTACCAAGGATAGTCCTACGGATCCAGGACACGCCACGAATTCTCTAACTCCACCGACATGGACAGATTGCAGGGGACGTGATAAATTGCAGCATGGTGGTACACGGCCTTCAAGGATCTGCATTGTCAGTGGGTGCCATTGCTGGACACCGTCTTCTGCAGCCACCTCAGAGAGCTCCAGCTGCGGATCCCTGCAGCGAGAGTAGCGACTGGACTGAGCAAATCCAGACACCTTGTCGTCGTTTCCAAGGCCGAGTTAAAGGTGCCTGTTTTCTCTGGCGAATCGTTGCCGACACCGGCAGAATCCCTCCCCCCCCCCCCACCTTCATCATCATCCATCCATCTCATTGGATGAATGTTAAATAGAGTATATGGTACGCTCTCATTGTTGAGAGGGGGAGAAGTCTTTCACAACTGCTGGGCAATTGAAAGTGGTACAAGAAAAAGTATTTTTGCAGCTCTCTTTACAAACCCAACGGAGAGTGGGTGGATTTTTATTAACTCGGTGCTGGGGGCCATTGTTGCTAGAAACACACTCCATGGCTATTGTGGCCCTAGTAGATAGATTCTTGAATTGAATGTCCAACAACCACAGTACTCAGTGATAGGGTTTAGGGTTTTGTGTTCTAAAAGTGTGAAAAGTACTTAAGAGTAATAAAGTGTACAATTCCACTGTCTAAAATACAATAGTTTGAAAAAAAAGAAACAAAAAAGAGAGGATTTTTTAATTTTTTTTTAGTTTTATTTTTCAAAATAGATAAATAAACTTGAGCATAGTAAATTAGTTAATTGAAGGAATAGAAAAGAGTTCAAATGGAGCAAGTAGTGCAATCACTCAAGTAATTCTTCAAAGCATCAACTGGTGTTTTTGCAACAATTAAAAGAATAATTGTGTAGATATGGCAATAATCTTAAAAGCAATTTTAATTTCATAAATTCAAATATATACATGTGTTTGAATATTGGCATTTTGTTGTACATGACTTATCATTCTCTAATCACATCATTGTTTTTAATTTTTCTCTTAATAAAATAAGAGAATTAGTTCAAAAAAATATATTTTATAATTTTAAGTCATTCTTAAAAATCATCATAACACAAATTAAATTTAAATAGTAAAATTAGATTTTGTAATATAGTGTTTTATCTAAAAATGAAATTACCATTAAATCAACAAAAAAAAACTATCGTGTTACAGAAGAACGTTAAAATAATTAAATGTCAAACAAACAAGGACTATTAACAAAGTCATAAAAAAATATAAGAGTAATAAGATGCTCGATTAGAAACAAGAAAAACTCAAGACTGAATACAAAATTAAGATCAAGACCACACTTAGATTCTTCTAGAACTTATGTTGGCAAGATTACAACATTTCTTGTCTTACTTCTTTGTTTGTACAAAGAACAGCTAAGTCTTAAATTTTTTTTGGGATTTCAAAAAATTCTGTATACAAGTATGTATGTATATATATATATATATATATATTAAAAATATATAAAATTATATTAGTAAATTTTAAATAATTATGAAAGATTCAAAAAATATTACGTGTTAGAATTTAAATTTTTTCAAGATTCTAGATGTTTTAAAACTTAATAAGAATATTTATTAGATTTTATTTCTTTTAGGTTGTAAAAGAAACTCTCATTTTATTTTATTTTTCTAAATGCCAATGTAATATCTATTTAGTTTCTTAAAAAAAATCTATCTAATCTAATCTTCTTTTTAACAATTATCTTGTATATAAATTTTTATTTTTTAAAATTATTTTAAAAATATATTTAAAACCTTATTTCTTATACAATTTTAATTTTTTAAATATTGAAAAAAAATAAAAAATAACATCATCTTTTTATTTACTTAATTAGCTTTTATGTTAATTTAAAATAGAACCTTATTATAATTCTTTACGAATTTCATATTACTAATTACTCCTAATGGCTAATATACTAATTTCCAATAATTTTCTTATTTTTACCTTATTATAGTCTTTAGAACCTAAATTCTAGAATTTAAAATTAAACATACTTTGTAAGTAAGACCAATTTATCTAAATAATATTTGGTAGATAAAAACAAATTTATCTTTATCTAAATTAAGTTGGCTTAATTAAATTAACTAAATGAACTAAGTTTTGTAAGAAAACCTTCTTTTAATATTAGTTATAACTTCTACTAAGTTTTTTTTCTTAAATATTATAAAATAAAACAATTTGACAACCTGAATTAGCTCTAATTTAATAAAATCTTAGTATTTATTACTATTATGATGTTTCTTTGATAATTCTAACTCAAGTTTGAAATTATAGTTATATCCTTTAAATTTCCCTTATTCATGTGATTATTCTCAAATATTTAATTTTTTTTTAAAAATCAAATTAATAAAAAATTTATATATTGATTTAAACATTTACTTGAGTTGTGGTTGTATTTTTGATAAAAACTCTTAAAACCTTGTAACATAAGAATCAATATATTATTTTTAATAGTTGCAAAAATAAATTATTACGTTGTCTTTCATAATTAAAATAATAAATTTAAAGAATATTTTTTATAAAAAGATTAGAAGATTTGATTGTTTTATTTTTTTATTATTATTATTTTGTTTTGTTTTGTTTTGTTTTGTTTTTTTTGATACATGATGCAATTAATCTATATCTTAATAGTTACACCTTATGGCTATAATATGTATCTTCTAGTCAACTCTTATAATTTGATGCTGCTATTAATTCAAGTTGGCTTGCTAGATTTTTTTTTGTACAATTTTATTTTTTTAAAAAAAGAATTCTATATTCGGACATGGTTCATTCACTATATATCTTTGCATACGAATAAAATTATTTTAAGATGTTGTTCTAAACTTTTTTGATATGCACTATTTATTTTGGTTTAATAAGGAGCTATTGATACTTGTAGATTAACATCAAGGTTAAAAAAAGAGGATGGCCAATACTTAAGTACATTAAGAACTTTTTATCCTAATTAATAAATTCATCTTTTCTTAATTTTATCTGCTTATTTTTAACTAGTAGATTGAAATGTATGCAAATTTTTAAACAAGATGAATGATTTTTTTAAATAATCATTGAAATTTTAAGACCAATTGGATACGATTTGATTGAAATTTATTGATATTTTATTAATATTTTATTAGAAATTATTGAGATTTATTAAATATTTTATTAAATTTATTATAATTTATTAAAAATATTATTAGAATTTATTACAATTTATTAGGATTTATCTAAAATTTGATTATGATTTATTTAGAATTTAATTAGGCTATATTTAAGATTTTATTAGGATTCCAAAATTTAATTAGGAATTCTTTAGAAAGTCTTTATGATTTATTTATTTATTTATTTATTTATTTTTAAAATACTCTTTAAGTTTTTTGTAGGATTTGAATAAAATTTGATTAAAATAGTTAAGATTCATTTAAAAAAATTTAAAGATTTTATTAGGAATGTTAGATCCGTTTTTTGTTAAAAAATATACGTTTACCTTTTACACCTAAGTGCTTAGTGCATTTTCAAGCAAGACAACACATAATATGATATTGCTTTCTTATTGAATAGTTATTTAGTTGCCATGAGATATTGCTTCTTTATTGGTACATACTATTCTAAATCCTCTTCTTCTTTTTTTGCATGGTAATCTTTGCAATACTACAAAAGAAGTAGTAACTAACACTCAATGTCTTATTTAGCAAATAGATTGTACTTTCAAAGAATACCTAAGTTTAAACAATATGCTTGTGTTCAATTGAATTAAGCTCATTTCTTGTCAATGTATCCTATACTAGATATAATTTCTCCACTTATTTAAAATTTTATATACTAGTTCATCTACAAACGTATTTTTTGACACTATAAGTGCATTTTTTGTTGTAAAACAACAAGTGAGACATTTCAATGATTCACATTTGGTTGTTTTGTTCATGTTGAATGAAATACAAAATTATTATTATTATTTATTTTATTCTTATTTCTATTATTAAGACAAAATTTTAATTTTATATTTTATTTTTAAATTTATAATTTCATAACTCTATTTTATTTATGAATTATTATTAATTTAGTTGCATTAAAAATAAATTAATAAATTAATAAATTATTTTATAATTTATTTTTATTATGAAATAATTTAAAAAAATCTTAATATATTTTTTAATTTTATATTAAATATAATAATAGTAAAAAAATCTTTGATTAAATATAATATTATTTAAAAAATCACAAATCATTGCAAATATTATTAGAAAAAAATATTTATTAAAAGATTTTTTTATTATGATAAAATAGTCCATATTATCAAGAACATGAATTTAGATAAAACTCAAAAGAAATTAAATTCATGTATCATTGAAAAATAATGAAATCACATTCATGTATCATTTAAAAGTAAAGAAATTACATTCATATATCATTAAAAAATAAAAAATTTGAGGAATAAAAATTAAAATATAATATAAAAAAGAATTTAAATAATTATTATCAAGTACAAAGAAGCTAAAGAATCTTGAATTAAGACTAAAATACAAGAATTTTTAAAATAAGTCTTAAGAAAAATAATTAAATTGCTCCATAAGTTGATAAAGTCTAAGATCTATTAAATCATATTAGCAACAAAAATTGATCTATATTTTATATAAAAGAAATTATTTCTTTTTCTATTAATTTTATTCTATACTAAAGTAAGAAGCCCATCTTATTATTTGATCATTGTTGAGGCCTTTACAACTACCTATAATTTATACATTCTAAATTCAATTCAGTATAATATTCATATTTAATAGTATTACTAATCATTATAAGTCTCTTTCAAAATTGTGGTACTAAATATATTTTATCTTAAAAAAGACATATCTCTCTTGAAGATTTAAATAGATGTTTTCATTACACTATCAAAGTTGTCTAAATTGAAACAACCTAAATATTTTATTTGATAATTTTGCAATTGACAATTCATGAGATGAATTTGCTAGTTGTTGATTCTTTATGTTGCAAAAAATTTCTACAAATTAATTCTTAAATTTTTTTCTCTTTGATTTATATCATTGTATTGTTAATAGTTAGTCCTTGATTTTGATAGATGTTGATGATGAAAAATAATAACAAGCTTTGATACATCTATAATATTTTGAAATAACTCCCATGTACATTTATTAATATCATATTTATACCAATATATTAATCTTAAATC